CCAGTGGACATGGAGGGACATGGAGAGGTTGGGGGGACAGGGAGGAGACATTGGGGGACAGAGGGACATCGAGGAGTCCCAGGGGACATGGAGGGACATTGGGGACAGAGGGGATGTATGTGGGGTCCCAGGGGACATGAGAGGGGACATTAGAGAGGTCCCAGGGGACATGGGGGACATGGGTGACACTGGGGGTCCCAGGGACACGGGAAGGACATGGAGGGACATTGGGGACAGGGAAGACATTGGGGACAGAGGGGACATTGGGGGGTCCCAGGGGACACAGAGGGACATGAAGGTGACATTGGGGACAGGGGTGACATGGGGGACAGGGGTGACACTGGGGTCCCAGGGACATTGGGGGTTCCTAGGGGACACTGAGGGACAGGGGTGACACTGGGGTACAGGGGACATTGGGGGGTCCCAGGGGACACTGGGGGACAGGGGGACATTGGGAGTCCTCACCTGGAGCTCCCTGGACAGCGTCACCCCGGTCAGGTCCACGGGCTGGGGGCTGTACCCGTGGGAGGGGTCGTAGGTGGCCTGGGGGGGGATAAAATGGGGGGTCAGGGGGCACCTCCTGCAGGTGTTTTTGGGGTTCCCCCAACCCCCTGGAGGTGTTTTTGGGGTTCCCCCACCCCCTGGAGTGTTTTGGGTTCCCAACCCCTGGAGGTGTTTTTGAGGGTCCCACCTGGGCGCTCTGGGAGATTTTCCGCGTTTTCTTCTTCTCGGCCCGCTCGTCCTCCCCTTCCCGGGCCTTCTCCACCGTCCACTCCCAGGCCAGCATGGCCTTCAGGGACTCCTTGATGGGCCACCGGTAGATCTCCTTGTCCTGGGGGGGGTCACAGGGCTCAGGGGGGCTCCCCAAAATCGGGGGGAGGCCCCCAAAATCATGGGGGGTCCGTGGGGAGGAGCAGGGACAGGGTTGGGGGTTGGGTGAGGGTGATGATGGCCCTCGGTGGATTTTCTGGTCCTGGGGTGGGTCAAGGGGTCCCCCAAAATCAGGGGGCTCAGGGAGGGTCAAGAGGAGGAGGAGGGTGGTTTGGGGGGTTGGATGGTTTTGGGGTGGGTTTGGAGGGTTTTGGGGGGTTGGAGGGTTTTGGGGCGTCTGAAGGACGAGGATGGTCAGTGATGATGCAGTGGAGGGGACGGATGGTTTGGGGGTTTTGATGGGTTTGGGGGTGTCCTGGTGGGTCTGGGGGTGTCCTGGTGGGTCTGGGGGTGCCTCAGGGGGTCCCCAGGGTACCTTTTCAGAGAAGGTCTTGTAGGGCCTCAGCATGGGAGTGGGTTTGGCCTCTTCGTCCACGGTCTCCCCAAAAGTCCAGTTGTTCTGGATCTGGGAGGAGACACAGATTTGGTGGGGGGGCTCAAGGGGCTGGGGGACCCCTTGGGGGTCCTGGGGGTGTCCCACGGGGTCAGGGGGCCCCAGGGGGTCCCCACCTTGTCGAAGGCCCACTTCTCGTGCGTGTACTCGGCGTACTTGTTGATGAAGCCGTCGAGCTTCTCGGGGATGATGACGCTGGGGGGACACGGGGGGGTCAGGGGGACAGGGGATGAGGGTGGGGGGGCTGGGAGGGGTTGGGGGTCCCCACGAGGATGAGGGTGAGGAAGGAGGGGTTGGAGGGTCTGGATGGAACTGGGAGGGGCTGGGGGGTCTGGGAGAGGTTGGGGGGCCCCATGAGGATGAGGGTGAGGAAGGAGGGGTTGGAGGGGTCAGGATGAGGAAGGACAGGATTAGGGGGTCTGGGAGGGAGTTGGGGGGTCTGAGGAGAGGTTGGGGGGGTCCCCACGAGGATGAGAGTGAGGAAGGAGGGGTTGGAGGGTCTGGATGGAACTGGGAGGGGCTGGGGGACCTGGGAGGTGGTTGGGGGTCCCCATGAGGATGAGTAAGGAGGGGGTTGGAGGGGCCAGGATGAGGAAGGACAGGATTAGGGGGTCTGGAGGGAGCTGGGGGGTCTGGGAGAGGTTGGGGGGTCTCCATGAGGATGAGGGTGAGGAAGGAGGGGGTTGGAGGGGTCAGGATGAGGAAAGACAGAACTGGGGGAGTCAGGATGAGGAAGGACAGCACTGGGGGTCTCGTGCTGGCCCCGGGGGGCGCAGGGCCGGGGTGGGGGGTGGTCTTTGCGACCCCTACTTGAGGGTCTCGACGGGTTTGGGGTCGAAGTTGCCCTCGGCGTCCACCGAGGCCTTTTTCTCGGTGCGGGACGAGTAGCTGGCGTCCACGTAGTCGGGGGGGATGGCGCCGGCGATGGCGCAGAGGCACGGCATGGCCAGCTTGTACAGCTCGGCCTCGAATTTCTGAGGGGACAGTGGGGACAGGGGAGGTGACACAGGGACCCTGAGCCACCCCAGAGCTTGTACAGCTCGGCCTCGAACTTCTGAGGGGACAGCAGGGACAGGGAAGGTGACACAGGGACCCTGAGCCACCCCAGAGCTTGTACAGCTCGGCCTCGAACTTCTGAGGGGACAGCAGGGACAGGGGGGGTGACACAGGGACCCTGAGCCACCCAGAGCTTGTACAGCTCGGCCTCGAACTTCTGAGGGGACAGCGGGGACAGGGGAGGTGACACAGGGACCCTGAGCCACCCAGAGCTTGTACAGCTCGGCCTCGAACTTCTGAGGGGACAGCAGGGACAGAGGAGGTGACACAGGGACCCTGAGCCACCCAGAGCCACCCTGGGCACACGGCATGGCCAGCTTGTACAGCTCGGCCTCAAACTTCTGAGGGGACAGCAGGGACAGGGAGGTGACACAGGGACCCTGAGCCACCCAGAGCTTGTACAGCTCAGCCTCGAATTTCTGAGGGGACAGCAGGGACGGGGGGGTGACACAGGGACCCTGAGCCACCCAGAGCCACCCCGGGAACACAGGGACCCTGAGCCACCCCAGAGCTTGTACAGCTCGGCCTCGAACTTCTGAGGGGACAGGGGGACAGGGGAGGTGACACAGGGACCCTGAGCCACCCCAGAGCCACCCCAGGGACACAGGGACCCTGAGCCCACCAGGACCACCCGAGCCCCCCCTGTCCCCACATGGCTGTTCCCATTGTCCCTGTGTTCCCCATCACTCCCCTCCCCATGTCCCCCTGTCCCCCACGTGCCCATCACCCCCGTGTCCCCAGGTGTCCCCAAGGTGTCCCCCTGCCCCCCCAGAGCCCACCTTGTGCGCCAGGGAGTCGAAGATGCCCCAGAAGAGCTTCCTGGTGAGGTGCAGCTCCTCCTCGGAGCTGACGCCCATGTTGGGCCAGCCGTTGGGCAGGCAGTAGTAGCGCCAGCACCGCTCGTAGTGGTTCGTCAGCAGCTTTGGGGGACACTGGGGGTCAGGGGGTCGGGGGTTAAGGGGCTGGGGGAGCGCAGGGACCCCCTGGCGGCTCACCTTGAGGGGCATCTTGGCGAACTCGTTGAGGATGGGGACGTCGAAGACGAGGCGGCGCAGGAGGTGCTGCAGCATCGAGGGCGGATGTACCTGGGGGGGTAAAGAGGGAGGTCAGGGGGCGGTTGGGAGTGCAGGGAGGGGAGATGGGGGCACAGAAGGTGTAAGGGGGTTAGGGTTCACCCTCAGAGCCCCACGAGATGCTTGACGGGCCCTGGGGAGGTGACAAGGGGGTGGGTGGGCTGTGAGGGTGGGTTGGGGGTGGTTGCAGGGGTTTGGGGGCTGCAGGGGGATTTGGAGCAGAGTTTGGGGTCCCACCTGCAGAACACCATGAGACCCTTGAAGGGCCCTGGGGAGGTGACACGGGGGTGGGTTGGCCGTGAGGGGTGGGTTGGGGATAGGGGTGGCTACAGGGAGGGGGTTTTGGAGCACAGTTGGGGTCCCACCTGCAGAGCGCCATGAGGCCCTTGATGGGCCCTGGGGAGGTGACACGGGGGTGGGTTGGACGTGAGGTGAGTTGGGGGTGGGAGTGGCTGCAGGGGTTTGGGGGCTGCAGGGGTGGATTTGGGACACAGTTTGGGGTCCCACCTGCAGAGCGCCATGAGACCCTTGATGGGCCCTGGGGAGGTGACACAGGGGTGGGTTGGCTGTGAGGGGTGGGTTGGGGGTGGGGGTGGCTGCAGGGGCTTGGGGGTTGCAGGGGCGGGATTTGGGGCACAGTTTGGGGTCCCACCTGCAGAGCACCATGAGGCCCTTGATGGGCCCTGGGGAGGTGACACGGGGGTGGGTTGGCTGTGAGGGTGGGCTGGGGGTGGGAGTGGCTGCAGGGTTTGGGGGCTGCAGGGGGATTTGGGGCACAGTTTGGGGTCCCACCTGCAGAGCCCCATGTGACAATTGATGGGCCCTGGGTCAGTGACACAGGGAGTGGGTTGGGGGTGGGAGTGGCTGCAGGGGGGGATTTGGGGCACAGTTTGGGGTCCCACCTGCAGAGCACCATGAGATGCTTGAAGGGCCCTGGGGAGGTGACACAGGGGGTGGGAGTGGCTGCGGGGGGCAGAATTTGGGGCACAGTTTGGGGTCCCACCTGCAGAGCCCCACGTGACACTTGATGGGCCCTGGGGAGGTGACACAGGGGGTGGGTTGGGGGTGGGAGTGGCTGCAGGGGAGGGAGTTTTGGGGCACAGTTTGGGGTCCCACCTGCAGAGCGCCATGAGGCCCTTGATGGGCCCTGGGGAGGTGACACGGGGGTGGGTTGGGGGTGGGAGTGGCTGCAGGGGAGGGATTTGGGGCACAGTTTGGGGTCCCACCTGCAGAGCGCCATGAGGCCCTTGATGGGCCCTGGGGAGGTGACACGGGGGTGGGTTGGCCAGGAGGGTGAGATGGCCATGGTGGCTGGGTTGGGGTGGAGGGGGCTGCAGGGGTTTGGGGGCTGCAGGGGATTTGGGGCACAGTTTGGGGTCCCACCTGCAGAGCGCCATGAGACCCTTGATGGGCCCTGGGGAGGTGACACAGGGTGGGGGTGGGAGTGGCTGCAGGGGGGATTTGGGGCACAGTTTGGGGTCCCACCTGCAGAGCGCCATGAGGCACTCTGATGGGCCCTGGGGAGGTGACACAGGGGTGGGTTGGGGGTGGGAGTGGCTGCGGGGAGGGCAGGATTTGGGGCACAGTTTGGGGTCCCACCTGCAGAGCACCATGAGACCCTTGATGGGCCCTGGGGAGGTGACACAGGGGGTGGGTTGGCCGTGAGGGGCGGGATGGCCATGGGTGGCTGCGCTGGGGTGGGAGTGGCTGCAGGGGTTGGGGGCTGCAGGGGGGGATTTGGGGCACAGTTTGGGGTCCCACCTGCAGAGCACCATGAGATGCTTGAAGGGCCCTGGGGAGGTGACATGGGGGGTGGGAGTGGCTGCGGGGGGGGCAGGATTTGGGGCAGTTTGGGGTCCTACCTGCAGAGCGCCATGAGGCACTCCTCGATGGCGTCGCGCTGGGCCTTGGTGAGGGCGCGGCCGCGGGACAGGCGGTAGATGGTGTGCAGCATGGAGTCCACCATGATGGCGCGGTGCTCCGTGCCCGCAAACAGCGGCGCGCACTTGGTGATGAGCGGCAGCACCGCCAGGCACAGGTACCGGTTCAGCGCCAGCGCCATCTCCGTCGTGCTGAAGGTCGCCTGGGGGGGTCGGGAACAGGGAAAGGGAGGGAAATGTGAGGGGAAAATGGAGGGAAATGTGAGGGGAAAATGGAGGGAAATGTGAGGGGAAAAAGGGCGGGAAATGTGAGGGGAAAATGGAGAGAAATGTGAGGGGAAAATGGTGGGAAATGTGAGGGGAAAATGGAGAGAAATGTGAGGGGAAAATAGTGAGAAATGTGAGGAGAAAATGGAGAGAAAGGTGAGGGGAAAATGGTGGGAAATGTGAGGGGAAAAAGGGTGGGAGATGTGAGGGAAAGAGGGAGAGAAATGTGAGGGGAAAATGGTGAGAAATGTGAGGGGAAAATGGTGAGAAATGTGAGGGGAAAAGAGTGGGAAATGTGAGGGGAAAATGGAGGGAAACGTGAGGGGAAAAAGGGTGAGAAATGTGACGGGAAAAGGGTAAGAAATGTGAGGGGGAAAATGGAGGGAAATGTGAGGGGAAAATGGAGGGAAATGTGAGGGGAAAATGGTGAGAAATGTGAGGGGAAAAGGAAGAAACGTGAGAGGAAAATGGTGAGAAATGTGAGGGAAAATGGAAAGAAATGTGAGGGGGAAAAGGGTGAGAAATGTGAGGGGGAAAGGACGGGAAATGTGAGGGGGAAAGGACGGGAAATGTGAGGGGAAAGAGGGAGGGAAATGTGAGGGGAAAATTGTGAGAAATGTGAGGGGGAAAAGGGTGGGAAACATGAGGAGAAAGAGAGGAAAATGTGAGGGAAAAGAGGGAGAGAAATGTGAGGGGGAAAAGGTGAGAAATGTGAGGGGGAAAGGACGGGAAATGTGAGGGGAAAAGGGTGAGAAATGTGAGGGGAAAAAGGGTGGGAGATGTGAGGGGGGAGAAGAGTGGGAAATGTGAGGGAAAATGGTGAGAAATGTGAGGGAAAAATGGAGGGAAACGTGAGGGGGAAATAGTGAGAAATGTGAGGGGGAAATGGAGGGAAATGTGAGGGGAAAAAGGGTGGGAAATGTGAGGGGAAAAGGGTGAGAAATGTGAGGGGAAAATGGAGAGAAATGTGAGGGGAAAATGGAGAGAAATGTGAGGGGAAAATGGAGAGAAATGTGAGGGGGAAAAGGGTGGGAAATGTGAGGGGGAAAAGGGTGGGAAATGTGAGGGGAAAATGGAGGGAAATATGAGGGGAAAAGGGTAAGAAATGTGAAGGGAAAAAGGGTGGGAAATGTGAGGGGCAAAAGGGTGAGAAATGTGATGGGAAAAAGGGCGGGAAATGTGAGGGGAAAATGGTGAGAAATGTGAGGGGAAAATGGAGAGAAATGTGAGGGAAATGGAGGAAATGTGAGGGGAAAAGGGCAGGAAATGTGAGGGGAAAATGGTGAGAAATGTGAGGGGAAAATGGAGAGAAATGTGAGGGGAAAAGGGTAAGAAATGTGAGGGAAAAAGGGCAGGAAATGTGAGGGGAAAATGGTGAGAAATGTGAGGGGAAATTGGAGAGAAATGTGAGGGGAAAAGGGTAAGAAATGTGAGGGCAAAGGGTGGGAAATGTGAGGGGGAAAGGGTGGGAAATGTGAGGGGAAAATGGAGAGAAATGTGAGGGGAAAAAGGGCAGGAAATGTGAGGGGAAAAGGGTAAGAAATGTGAGGGAAAAAGGGTGGGAAATGTGAGGGCAAAGGGTGGGAAATGTGAGGGGGAAAGGGTGGGAAATGTGAGGGGAAAGTGGTGAGAAATGTGAGGGGAAAAGGGTAAGAAACGTGAGAGGAAAATGGTGAGAAATGTGAGGGGAAAAGGGTAAGAAATGTGAGGGGGAAAAGGGTGGGAGATGTGAGGGGAAAAAGGGTGGGAAACATGAGGAGAAAGAGAGGAAAATGTGAGGGAAAAGAAGGAGAGAAATGTGAGGGGGAAATGGTGAGAAATGTGAGGGGGAAAGGACGGGAAATGTGAGGGGAAAATGGTGAGAAATGTGAGGGGAAAAAGTGGGAAATGTGAAGGGAAAGAGGGAGGGAAATGAGAAGGGAAAATAGTGAGAAATGTGAGGGGAAAAAGAGTGGGAAATGTGAAGGGAAAGAGGGAGGGAAATGAGAGGGGAAAGAGGGAGGGAATGGTGAGGAGAAAATGGTGAGAAATGTGAGGAGAAAATGGAGGGAAACGTGAGGGGAAAATAGTGAGAAATGTGAGGGGAAAAGGGTGGGAAATGTGAGGGGAAAAAGGGCAGGAAATGTGAGGGGGGAAAAGGGTGAGAAATGTGAGGGGGGAAAAGGGTGAGAAATGTGAGGGGAAAATGGTGGGAAATATGAGGGGAAAGAGGGAGGGAATGGTGAGGGGAAAATGGTGGGAAATGTGAGGGGAAAAGGGTGGGAAATGTGAGGGGAAAAAGGGCAGGAAATGTGAGGGGGGAAAAGGGTGAGAAATGTGAGGGGAAAATGGAGGGAAATGTGAGGGGAAAATGGAGGGAAATGTGAGGGGAAAGAGGGAGGGAATGGTGAGGGGAAAATAGAGGGAAATGTGAGGGGAAAAGGGTAAGAAATGTGAGGGGGGAAAAGGGTGAGAAATGTGAGGGGAAAATGGAGGGAAATGTGAGGGGAAAAAGGGTGGGAAATGTGAGGGGAAATGGTGGGAGATGTGAGGGGAAAGTGGTGAGAAATGTGAGGGGGAAAATGGTGAGAAATGTGAGGGGGAAAGGACGGGAAATATGAGGGGAAAAGGGTGAGAAATGTGAGGGGGAAAGGGTGGGAAATGTGAGGGAAAAGGGCGGGAAATGTGAGGGGAAAGAGGGAGGGAATGGTGAGGGGAAAATAGAGGGAAATGTGAGGGGAAAATGGTGGGAGATGTGAGGGGAAAATGGTGGGAGATGTGAGGGGAAAATGGTGAGAAAAGGGAGGGGAAAAAGGGCGGAAAATGTGAGGGGTAAATGGTGAGAAATGTTCTGGGGTGCCCCTCACCGTGTCGAGGGAGGCACAGGGGTGTTTTTGGGGTGCCCCTCATGGTGTGGAAGGGTTTGGGGTGCCCCTCACCATGTCGAGGGAGGCACAGGGGTGTTTCTGGGGTGCCCCTCACGGTGTGGAGGGAGGTACAGGGGTGTTTTTGGGGTGCCCCTCATGGTGTGGAGGGTTTGGGGTGCCCCTCATGGTGTGGAGGGGTTTGGGGTGCCCCTCATGGTGTCGAGGGAGGCACAGGGGTGTTTTTGGGGTGCCCCTCACCGTGTCGAGGGAGGCACAGGGGTGTTTTTGGGGTGCCCCTCACGGTGTGGAGGGTTTGGGGTGCCCTCACGGTGTCGAGGAGGCACAGGGGTGTTTTTGGGGTGCCCCTCACGGTGTGGAGGGGTTTGGGGTGCCCCTCACGGTGTGGAGGGGTTTTGGGGTGCCCCTCACCGTGTGGAGGGTATTTTGGGGTGCCCTCACAGTGTGGAGGGGGTTTGGGGTGCCCTCACAGTGTGCGAGGGAGGCACAGGGGTGTTTTTGGGGTGCCCTCACGGTGTGGAGGAGGGGTTTTGGGGTGCCCCTCACCGTGTCGAGGGAGGCACAGGGGTGTTTTTGGGGTGCCCCTCACGGTGTGGAGGGAGGCACAGGGGTGTTTTTGGGGTGCCCCTCACGGTGTGGAGGGGTTTGGGGTGCCCTCACCGTGTCGAGGAGGCACAGGGTGTTTTGGGTGCCCCTCATGGTGTGGAGGGAGGCACAGGGGTGTTTTTGGGATGCCCCTCAGGGTGTGGAGGGGGTTTGGGGTGCCCCTCACCGTGTCGAGGGAGGCACAGGGGTGTTTTTGGGGTGCCCCTCACAGTGTGGAGGGAGGCACAGGGGTGTTTTTGGGGTGCCCCTCACAGTGTGGAGGGGGTTTGGGGTGCCCCTCACAGTGTGGAGGGGTTTGGGGTGCCCCTCACAATGTGGAGGGTGTTTTTGGGATGCCCCTCACGGTGTGGAGGGGTTTTGGGGTGCCCCTCACCGTGTCGAGGGAGGCAGCCGCGCGCATGTCGGGCAGGAACCCCACTTCCAGGACGTGCAGCAGGAACTCCTGGCTCTGCACGCCGTACACGCGGTCCAGGAACAGCACCATGGGCGCCTTGTGCTCGGGGACGAAGCTGGCGGCCATGCGGGGCTCCACCACGTTCCCATCTGATTGGGGGGACCCCAAAATTCAGGGGAACCCCCTCATGGGCCCCCCAAAATCTGTGCCCCCCCCAGGTCTGTCCGGGCACTCGGTGTACCCCAAAAACCTGTCTGTGTGCCCCCCGCCCACTGCCCTCCCATTTTGGGGTCTCCCCGGTCCTAGTGACCCCCTCTCCCCAATTTGGGGACAAGCCCCCCACCCCTTTTTTGGGCACTCCCCTCCTTTTCCCAGCGCCCTGCAGGGAGGGGGCTGATGATCCCCACCAGGTCCCAGTGCTGTGACACCCCCATTTTAGGGTCACCCCCCAACCCCAATGACCCCCCCCTCCTTTTGGGGACCCCCTCCCCGTTTTCAGGGCCCCCTCCCACCTTTTCCCAGGGCTGGGATCTGCAGGGGGAGGCTGATGATCCCCACCAGGTCCCAGTGCTGCGACACCCCCATTTTAGGGTCCCCCAACCCCAATGACCCCCTCCTTTTGGGGACCCTCCCCGTTTTCAGGGCCCCCTCCCACCTTTTCCCAGGGCCGGGATCTGCAGGGGGAAGCTGATGATCCCCACCAGGTCCCAGTGCTGTGACACCCCATTTTAGGGTCCCCCAACCCCAATGACCTCCTCCTTTTGGGGACCCTCCCCGTTTTCAGGGCCCTCCCACCTTTCCCCAGGGCCAGGATCTGCAGGGGAGGCTGATGATCCCCACCAGGTCCCAGTGCTGTGACACCCCATTTTAGGGTCCCCTCAACCCCAATGACCCCCTCCTTTTGGGGACCCTCCTCGTTTTCAGGGCCCCTCCCACCTTTTCCCAGGGCCGGGATCTGCAGGGGGAGGCTGATGATCCCCACCAGGTCCTCGAGCGGCACGAGCGAGCGCAGGATCGCCCGGATCCGCAGGGCCTCGCCCTTCCCCGCCTGGATCAGCTGTGGGGACAAGCAGGGACACAGGGGGTCACCCCAAGTGCTGTTCCCCACCCCGAGCCCCCTGAGCCCCCAGCCCCGGTCCGTACGTGCATCTCGGGGGCGCAGCGGCCCAGCAGGTCGATGAGGGCGGCGTAGAAGGACATGATGGCGTGGCCGAGGTGCACCCGGTTCTCCTCGGGGGGCTCCTCGGGGCCGAAGCTGGGGAGGGGGACATGGGGGTTCAGGGGGGGAGACCGCCCAGTGGTACCCCACCCCATCCCGTCTTCATCCTCACTCCCAATCCTCCTCATCCCCATCTCCCCCCGGACCCTTCCTCATCCTTATCCCCATTCCCAATCCTTTCCCAACCCTCGTCACCCCGATCCCGTCTCCATCCCGTTCTTTGTGGTCTCACCACCCCCCATCTTCATCCTCACCCTCTCCCCACATCCCACTCCCATCCCGTTCCTCACGGCCTCCTCTCCCTCCTGCCGTCCCGGGCGGGGTTCCCCTCCCCAATCCCACCCCAGTCCCACCCCCAATCCCATCCCATCCTCCCATCCCGTTCCTCACGGCCTCCTCTCCTCCTGCCGTCCCAGGCGGGGTTCTCCTCCCAATCCCACCCCCAATCCCATCCCAATCCCACTCCCATCCCATTCCTCACGGCCTCCTCTCCCTCCTGCCGTCCCGGGCGGGGTTCCCCTCCCCAATCCCACCCCAATCCCACCCCAATCCCCCTCCCATCCCATTCCTCACGGCCTCCTCTCCCTCCTGCTGTCCCAGGCGGGGTTCCCCTCCCAATCCCATCCCAATCCCACTCCCATCCCGTTCCTCACGGCCTCCTCTCCCTCCTGCCGTCCTGGGCAGGGTTCCCCTCCCCAATCCCACCCCCAATCCCCTCCCATCCCGTTCCTCACGGCCTCCTCTCCCTCCTGCTGTCCCAGGCAGGGTTCCCCTCCCCAATCCCACCCCAATCCCACTCCCATCCCGTTCCTCACGGCCTCCTCTCCCTCCTGCCGCTGGGCCCGTCCCGGGCGGGGTCCTGGGCGATGCTCAGGGCGTCCTGGATGGCGGCCAAGAGGCCGCTGCCCCCCTCTCCCCGCAGCGCCGGCCCGAAGCACTCGGGGCGCCGGATCAGCAGCCGCACCACCACGTTGGCGTTCTCCTCCACGCTCTCCCCTGCCCCGGGAGGACCACAAAATCCTCAGAACCCCAAAATCCTCAGAACCCCAAAATCCTCAGAACAGGGACCCCAAAGCCAGGGAAGCACAGGGACCCCCAGCACAGGGTCACAGGGACCCCCTCCAGATCCCGGATCAGCAGCCGCACCACCACGTGGGGTTCTCCTCCACGCTCTCCCCTGCCCCGGGAGAACCCCAAAATCCTCAGAACAGGACCCAAAATCCTCAGAACAGGGACCCCAAAACCAGAGGAGCACGGGGACTCCCAGCACAGGGTCACAGGGACCCCCTCAACCCTGGATCAGCAGCCGCACCACCACATTGGCATTCTCCTCCACGCTCTCCCCTGCCCCAGGAGAACCCCAAAATCCTCAGAACCCCAAAATCCTCAGAACAGGGACCCCAAAACCAGAGGAGCACAAGGACCCCCAGCACAGGGTCACAGGGACCCCCCAGATCCCAGATCAGCAGCCGCACCACCACGTTGGGTTCTCCTCCACGCTCTCCCCTGCCCCAGGAGAACCCCAAAATCCTCAGAACCCCAAAATCCTCAGAACCCCAAAATCCTCAGAACAGGGACCCCAAAACCAGAGGAGCACGGGGACCCCCAGCACAGGGTCACAGGGACCCCCCCAGATCCCGGATCAGCAGCCGCACCACCACGTGGGGTTCTCCTCCACGCTCTCCCCTGCCCCGGGAGAACCCCAAAATCCTCAAAACCCCAAAATCCTCAGAACAGGGACCCCAAAACCAGAGGAGCACGGGGACCCCCAGCACAGGGTCACAGGGACCCCCTCAACCCTGGATCAGCAGCCGCACCACCACATTGGCATTCTCCTCCACGCTCTCCCCTGCCCAGGGAGAACCCCAAAATCCTCAGAACCCCAAAATCCTCAGAACAGGGACCCCAAAAGCCAGAGGAGCACAAGGACCCCCAGCACAGGGTCACAGGGACCCCCAGTCCCGGATCAGCAGCCGCCGGGGACCCCAGCACAGGGTCACAGGGCACCCCAGATCCCGGATCAGAAGCTGCCACCACGTTGGCGTTTCCTCCACGTCCCTGCCCAGGTGATCTCCAAAATCCCCGCTCTCCCCTGCCCCAGGAGTCACAGGAGAACCCCAAAATCCTCAGAACAGGGACCCCAAAAATACGGACCCCCAAAACGTGGCTGTGGGGACACAGCTCGAGGTTCCCCAGTCATGGCCAGGGGGACACAGCCCGAGGGTCCCCAATCATGGCTATGGGGACACAGCCCAGGGGTCCCCAATCACAGCCAGGGGGACACAGCCCGGGGTCCCCAATCACAGTCAGGGGGACACAGCCCGGGGCCCCCCAAAATGTGGTCGTGGGGACACAGCCCGGGGCCCCCCAAAATGTGGTCGTGGGGACACAGCCCGGGGCCCCCCAAAATGTGGTCGTGGGGACACAGCCCGGGGTCCCCCAAAACGTGGTCGTGGGGACACAGCCCGGGGTCCCCCAAAACGTGGCCGTGGGGACACAGCCTGGGGTCCCCAGTCAAAATGTGGCCAGGGGGAAACAGCCCGGGGTACCCCAAAACGTTGCTGTGGGGACACAGCCCGGGATGCCCCAAAACGTGGTCGTGGGGACACAGCCCGGGGTCCCCAATCACAGCCAGGGGGACACAGCCCGGGATGCCCCAAAACGTGGTTGTGGGGACACAACCCGGGGTCCCCAATCATGGCCATGGGGACACAGCCTGGGGTCCCCCAAAACGTGGCCATGGGGACACAGCCCAGGGTCCCCAATCATGACCATGGGGACACAGCCCGGGGTCCCCCAAATCGTGGCCAGGGGGACACAGCCTGGGGTACCCCAAAACGTTGCTGTGGGGACACAGCCCGGGGTGCCCCAAAATGTGGCCAGGAGGACACAGCCCGGGACCCCTCACCGTTGACGAAGACGGCGAAGCGCAGGAAGTCGAGGTATCTCTCTCCCCCACAGGGGTTCCAGCCGATGTCGGGGTAGCCCTTGGCCAGCAGCATCGGGCAGCTCTGCAGGCCACAGCTCGCCAGGTACGTCACCACCTGGGCACAGGGGGTATGTGACACCTGGGGGACACTGGGGACACCTGGGGACACCTGGGGGACACCTGGAGGACACTGGGGACACCTGGGGGTTAGCCCTTGGTCAGCAGCATCGGGCAGCTCTGCAGGCCACAGCTGCCCAGGTACGTCACCACCTGGGCACAGGGGGGTCATGTGACACCCAGAGACACCTGGGGACACCTGGGGACACTGGGGACACCTGGGGACACCTGGGGATGCCTGGGGTTAGCCCTTGGCCAGCAGCATCGGGCAGCTCTGCAGGCCACAGCTGCGCCAGGTACGTCACCACCTGGGCACAGGGGGGTATGGGACACCTGGGGACACCTGGGGACACCTGGGGACACCTGGGGGCACCTGGGGGATAGCCCTTGGCCAGCAGCATCGGGCAGCTCTGCAGGCCACAGCTCGCCAGGTACGTCACCACCTGGGCACAGGGGGGTCATGTGACACCTGGGGACACCTGGGGACACCTGGGGACACCTGGGGGCACGGGGCTGTCCCACCTTCTCCAGGTCCTGCTCCTTGAGCGCCAGGGCCAGCTCGTTGTTGTCGATGACAGAGGCGGCCGCCACGTCCAGGGGGGTCGAGCCCTGCATGCCTGGGGAGGGGACAGGGTTGGGGGTCAGGGGGCTGTGGGACCCCAGGTGACACCCTAGGGGTGCAGGGACCCCCCAGCTCAAGGTGTCACACGGGACCCCCACAGGGGTGGGAGGGGTGGAGGTGACGGGGAGGGGATGGGGGTGATGGGGGACATTTGAGGGGGTCAGAGGGTGTCCCACGGGAGTTTTGGGGTCCCACAGGGGGTTTAGGGGTCCTGGGGGCGTTGGGGGTCAGGAGTGGGGTGTCTTACCCAGCAGGTAACCCAGGTGGGGGTGGCAGGGAGGGGACAGGGGTGGGTGTGGCAGGACAGGGGTGGGTGTGGCAGGGACAGGGGTGGCACTGGGGACATGGAGGGGTTTGGGGGTCCCAGGGGTCTCACCCAGCCCGATGCTGCTGTTCTCCAGCAGGTAGCCCAGGTGGGGGTGGCAGGAGGGGTCAGGGTGGGTGTGGCGGGGCAGGGGTGGCACTGGGGACACGGGGGTCCTGGGGGAGTTTTGGGGTCTCACCCAGCCCAATGCCACTGTTCTCCAGCAGGTAGCCCAGGTGGGAGTGGCAGGGGAGGGACAGGGGTGGGTGTGGCAGGACAGGGGGTGGCTGGGAGGGGACAGGGGTGGCAGTGGGGACACGGGGGGTCCTGGGGGAGTTTGGGGGTCTCACCCAGCCCAATGCCGCTGTTCTCCAGCAGGTAGCCCAGGTGGGGGTGGCAGGGAGGGGACAGGGGTGGGTGTGGCAGGGCAGGGGGTGGCAGTGGGGACACAGGAGGGTCCCAGGGAGGTGTGGGGTCCCAGAGGAGGTGTGGGGTCCCAGGGGTCTCACCCAGCCCGATGCCGCTGTTCTCCAGCAGGTAGCCCAGGTGGGGGTGGCAGGGGAGGGGACAGGGGTGGGTGTGGCGGAGCAGGGGTGGGTGTGGCAGGGCAGGGGGTGGCAGTGGGGACACGGGGCGGTCCTGGGGGAGTTTTGGGGTCTCACCCAGCCCGATGCCGCTGTTCTCCAGCAGGTAGCCCAGGTGGTCGAACATGGAGCGCTGGTTCTGGCGGCTGATGCGGCAGAAGTAGCAGAGGAAGCGGCAGCAGTTGGTCACCATCTTGGGGAACCGGATCTCCTGGGGAGCACAGGGGGTCAGGGAGGGCTCAGAGGGGCTCAGGGGTCAGGCACCCAGGGGGGTGTGGGGGCTCACCTTGGACTCTCCCCCGCCCAGCACGCTGACCATGACCTGCATCACCGTCTCGTGCATCCCCAGCGCCCGCATCAGGTTGGGGTGCTGGTAGAACACCTTGTTGTTCATGATGTTCCTGGGGGGTTACAGGGGGTCAGGGGGATTTGGGGTGCTGGTAGAACACCTTGTTGTTCATGATGTTCCTGGGGGTTACAGGGGGTCAGGGGGATTTGGGGTGCTGGTAGAACACCTTGTTGTTCATGATGTTCCTGGGGGGGTTACAGGGGGTCAGGGGGATTTGGGGTGCTGGTAGAACACCTTGTTGTTCATGATGTTCCTGGGGGTTACAGGGGGTCAGGAGGGATTTGGGGTGCTGGTAGAACACCTTGTTGTTCATGATGTTCCTGGGGGGTTACAGGGGGGTCAGGAGGGGATTTGGGGTGCTGGGAGGGGGTTATGGGGTGCTGGTAGAACACCTTGTTGTTCATGATGTTCCTGGGGGGTTACAGGGGGGTCAGGGGGGGATTTGGGGTGCTGGTAGAACACCTTGTTGTTCATGATGTTCCTGGGGGGTTACAGGGGGGGTGAGGGGAGGATTTGGGGTCCCAGGGTCCTGTTTGGGGTCTCAGGGTGCTGTGTGGGGTCCCAGGGTCCTGTTTGGGGTCCCAGGGTGCTCTCAGGGGTCCCAGGGTCCTGTCTGGGGTCCCAGGGTCCTGTCTGGGGTCCCAAGGTGCTCTCAGGGGTCTGAGGGTGCTCTCAGGAGGGATATTGGCGTCTCAGGGTCCTGTTTGGGGTCTGAGGGTGCTCTCAGGAGTCCCAGGGTGCTCTCAGGAGGGATATTGGGGTCCCAGGGTGCTCTCAGGGGTCCGAGGGTGCTCTCAGGAGGGATATTGGGGTCCCAGGGTGCCTTTTGGGGTCCCAGGGTGCCGTTTGGGGTCCCAGGGTGCTGTTTGGGGTCCGAGGGTGCTCTCAGGAGGGATATTGGGGTCCCAGGGTGCCGTTCAGGGGTCCCAGGGTGCCGTTTGGGGTCCCAGGGTGCTGTTCAGGGGTCCCAGGGTGCCGTTTGGGGTCCCAGGGTGCCGTTTGGGGCCCCAGGGTGCTGTTTGGGGTCCCAGGGTGCTCTCAGGGGTCCCAGGGTGCTGTTAGGGGTGCCAGGGTGCTGTTAGGGGTGCCAGGGTGCTGTTTGGGGTCCCAGGGTGCTGTGTGGGGTCCCAGGGTGCTCTCAGGGGTCCCAGGGTGCTCTCAGGGGTCCCAGGGTGCCGTTTGGGGTCCCAGGGTGCTGTTAGGGGTCCCAGGGTGCTGTTAGGGGTGCCAGGGTCCTGTTAGGGGTCCCAGGGTGCTGTTTGGGGTCCCAGGGTGCCGTTTGGGGTCCCAGGATCCTGTCTGGGGTCTCAAGGTGCTGTGTGGGGACCCAGGGTGCCGTTTGGGGTCCCAGGGTGCCGTTTGGGGTCCCAGGGTGCTGTTTGGGGTCCCAGGGTGCTGTTTGGGGTCTCAAGGTGCTCTCAGGGGTCCCAGGGTGCCGTTTGGGCGCCGTACCCGATGCTCTGGATCATGAGGTTCTCCTCCTCGGGGCCCATCTGCACGATGAGCAGGGAGCGGATCTGCCCCAGGCACTCGAGCAGGGCGGTGGTGTCGGGCACCGAGGTGGCACTGATGGCGTAGGCCTTGGGCAGCGCCCGGCCCAGCTCGCCCAGCGCGTCGTACTGGCCGTGCAGGAGGCTGAACATGGCCCTGACCAGAGCTGGGCTCTGGATGAACGACTCCTGTGCCCAGTGCACCATGGTCTGCGAGATCAGCTCCTGCAGGGTGCCTGGGGACACCAAACAGGGACATTGGGGATATCAGAGACATTGGGGACAGCAGGGACATTGGGGACATTGGGGACAGCAGGGACTCCTGTGCCCAGTGCACCATGGTCTGGGAGATCAGCTCCTGCAGGGTGCCTGGGGACAACAGGGACATTGGGGATATCAGAGACATTGGGGACAGCAGGGACATTGGGGACAGCAGGGACAGCAGGGACTCCTGTGCCCAGTGCACCATGGTCTGAGAGATCAGCTCCTGAAGGGTGCCTGGGGACACCAAACACAGACACTGGGGATATCAGGGACATTGAGGACAGCAGGGACAGCAGGGACTCCTGTGCCCAGTGCACCATGGTCTGAGAGATCAGCTCCTGCAGGGTGCCTGGGGACAGCAAACAGGGACATTGGGGACAGCAGGGACTCCTGTGCCCAGTGCACCATGGTCTGAGAGATCAGCTCCTGCAGGGTGCCTGGGGACACCAAACAGGGACATCAGGGACACTGGGGACATTGGGGACAGCAGGGACATTGGGGACACTGGGGACAGCAGGGACAGCAGGGACTCCTGCACCCAGTGCACCATGGTCTGGGAGATCAGCTCCTGAAGGGTACCTGGGGACACCAAACAGGGACATCAGAGACACTGGGGACACTGGGGACAGCAGGGACAGCAGGGACATTGGGGACAGCAGGGACATTGGGGACAGCAGGGACAGGTGGGACAGCAGGGACTCCTGCACCCAGTGTGCTGTGCTGGCCGTGCAGGAGGCTGAACATGGCCCTGACCAGAGCGGGGCTCTGGATGAACGACTCCTGTGCCCAGTGCACCATGGTCTGGGAGATCAGCTCCTGCAGGGTGCCTGGGGACAGCAGGGACATTGGGGACATTGGGGACAGCAGGGACATTGGGGACATCAGGGACAGCAGGGACATTGGGGACAACAGAGACATTGGGGACAGGTGGGACAGGTGGGACAGCAGGGACTCCTGTGCCCAGTGCACCATGGTCTGGGAGATCAGCTCCTGCAGGGTGCCTGGGGACACCAAACAGGGACATTGGGGACATCAGAGACATAGGGGACAGCAGGGACAGCAGGGACATTGGGGACAGCAGGGACAGCAGGGACTCCTGTGCCCAGTGCACCATGGTCTGGGAGATCAGCTCCTGCAGGGTGCCTGGGGACACCAAACAGGGACATTGGGGACAGCAGGGACATTGGGGACAGCAGGGACACAGGGACATTGGGGACAGTGGGGACAGCAGGGACACAGGGACATCAGGGACAGCAGGGACAGCAGGGACACAGGGACATGGGGGTTGCTGGGGACAGGTGGCACTCCTGTGTCCCCCACTCTGGGACATCTCCCCGCTCCCGCAGGTGGGGACACCCTGTGTGCCTGGGGACAGTCCTGGGGGTCCCCGTCCCCCCCATCCCCCTGTCCCCCCTTACTGGGCACGGGGGCTCCTCAGGGGGGGTCTCCTCATCCTTGGGGGCTCCGGACCCCACGACCCTCTGGACCAGCCCCAGCAGGCGCTGCCGCAGCGACGGCTCCTCCTCCTCCTCCTCCTCCTCCTCGCTCAGCTCGATGCCTGGGGGGCACGGGGGCATGGGAGGGCACAGGAGGAGGGTCATGAGGGGGCACAGGGGGCATGGGAGGGGGCACAGGAGGGTCATGGGGGGCACAGGGGGGCATGGGAGGGGGCACAGGGGTTCATGAGGGGCACAGGGGGTCATGAGGGGGCACAGGGGGTCATGAGGGGTCACAGGAGGGTCATGAGGGGGCACAGGGGGGCATGGGAGGGGTCACAGGAGGGTCATGGGGGGCACAGGGCAGGGAGGGTCACAGGAGGGTCATGGGGGGCACAGGGGGCATGGGAGGGGTCACAGGAGGGTCATGGGGGGCACGGGAGGGGTCAGAGGGCATGGGGGCACGGGAGAGGGTCACAGGAGGGTCATGGGGGCACAGGGGGCATGGGAGGGGGCACAGGAGGGTCATGGGGGGCACAGGGGGCATGGGAGGGGTCAGAGGAGGGTCATGGGGGGCACAGGAGGGGGCACAGGAGGGTCATGGGGGCAAGGGGGGTCATGGGGGTCCCAGGGGGTCCCGTGTCCCCCCAGAGGAGGGGCCTGAGGGTCCCTGCAGGGGGGGTCTCCGTGGCCTGGGGAGGATCCCAACAGCCCTGGGGGGGGTCCCAGTTCCCCTGGGAGGGGGTCTCTCTGCCGCAGGGAGGTGTCCCCAAGACCCACGGGGTGTCCCCAAGCCCAGGGGGGTGTCCCCAAGCCCCAAGGGGGTATCCCCATGCCCAGGGGGTGTCCCCAAGGCCCCGGGGGGTGTCCCCATGCCCAGGGGGTGTCCCCAAGCGCCCCCTCACCACAGTGGGGTGTCCCCATGCACAGGGAGGTGTCCCTAAGCCCCGGGGGTGTCCCCAAGCCCAGGGAGGTGTTCCCATGCCCAGGGGGTGTCCCCAAGCCCAGGGGGTGTCCCCAAGCCCAGGGGGGTGTCCCCAAGCCCAGGGAGGTGTCCCCAAGGCCCAGGAGGGTGTCCCCAAGGCCCAGGAGGGTGTCCCCATGCCCAGGGGGTGTCCCCAAGCTCTAGGGGGTGTCCCCAAGCCCAGGGAGGTGTCCCCAAGCCCAGGGGGGAGTCCCCAAGCCCAGGGAGGTGTCCCCATGCCCAGGGGGTGTCCCCAAGCTCTAGGGGGAGTCCCCAAGCCCAGGGAGGTGTCCCCAAGCCCAGGGGGGAGTCCCCAAGCCCAGGGAGGTGTCCCCATGCCCAGGGGGTGTCCCCATGCCCTAGGGAGGTGTCCCCAAACCCCAGGGAGGTGTCCCCAAGCCCCAGGGGTGTTCCCAAGCCCAGGGGGGTGTCCCCAAGCCCAGGGCGGTGTCCCCAAACCCCAGGGGGTGTCCCCATGCCCAGGGAGTGTCCCCAAGCCCCAGGGGGTGTCCCCAAGCCCCCGGGGATGTCCCCAACCCCAGGGAGGTGTCCCCAAGCCCCCGGGGTTGTCCCCAAGCCCAGGGGGGTGTCCCCATGCCCCAGGGAGGTGTCCCCATGCCCCAGGGGTGTCCCCATGCCCAGGAGGTGTCCCCATGCCCAGGGGGTGTCCCCAAGCCCAGGGGGTGTCCCCAAGCCCCAGGGGGTGTCCCCAAGCCCAGGGGGTGTCCCCATGCCCAGGGGGTGTCCCCATGCCCAGGGAGGTGTCCCCAAGCCCCAGGGGGTGTCCCCATGCCCCAGGGAGGTGTCCCCAAGCCCAGGGAGTTGTCCCCAAGCCCAAGAGGGTGTCCCCAAGCCCCAGGGGTGTCCCCAAGTTCCCCCTCACCACAGTGGGGTGTCCCCAAGCCCAGGAAGGTGTCCCTAAGCCCAGGGGGGTGTCCCCAAGCCCTGGGCAGTGTCCCCAAGCCCCCCCTCACCACAGGGGGGTGTCCCCAAGCCCCCGGGGGTGTCCCCATGCCCAGGAAGGTGTCCCCAAGCCCCAGGGGGGTATCCCCATGCCCAGGGGGTGTCCCCAAGCCCAGGGAGTTGTCCCCAAGCCCTGGGGGTGTCCCTGTGCCCCCCCTCACCACAGGGGGGTGTCCCCAAGCCCCAGGGGTGTCCCCAAGTTCCCCCTCACCACAGTGGGGTGTCCCCAAACCCAGGGGGGTGTCCCCAAGCCCTGGGGGTGTCCCTGTGCCCCCCCTCACCACAGGGGGTGTCCCAAGCCCCCGGGGATGTCCCCAAGCCCAGGGGGGTGTCCCCAAGCCCAGGGCAGTGTCCCCAAGCCCCCCCTCACCACAGGGGGGTGTCCCCAAGCCCCATGGGGGTGTCCCCAAGCCCCCGGGGGTGTCCCCAAGCCCAGGGAGGTGTCCCCAAGCCCTGGGCAGTGTCCCCAAGCCCCCCCTCACCACAGTGAGGTGTCCCCAAGCTCAAGGAGGTTTTCCCATGCCCCAGGAGGTGTCCCCAAGCCCCAGGGGGTGTCCCCAAGCTCCCCCTCACCACAGTGGGGTGTCCCCATGCCCAGGAGGGTGTCCCCATGCCCAGGGGGTGTCCCCAAGGCCCAGGAGGGTGTTCCCATGCCCCAAGGGGGTGTCCCCAAGGCCCAGGAGGGTGTCCTCATGCCCCAGGAGGTGTCCCCATGCCCAGGGGGTGTCCCCAAGCCCAGGGGGTGTCCCCAAGGCCCAGGAGGGTGTCCTCATGCCCCAGGAGGTGTCCCCATGCCCAGGGGGTGTCCCCAAGCCCAGGGGGTGTCCCCATGCCCAGGGGGTGTCCCCAAGCCCCAGGGGTGTCCCCAAGCCCAGGGAGGTGTCCCCAAACCCCAGGGAGGTGTCCCCATGCCCCAGGGAGGTGTCCCCAAGCCCAGGGAGGTGTCCCCAAACCCCAGGGAGGTGTCCCCAAGCCCAGGGAGGTGTCCCCAAGCCCAGGGGGGTGTCCCCAAGCCCCAGGGAGGTGTCCCCAAGCCCAGGGAGATGTCCCCAAGCCCAAGAGGGTGTCCCCAAGCCCCAGGGGGTGTCCCCAAGTTCCCCCTCACCACAGTGGGGTGTCCCCAAACCCAGGGGGGTGTCCCCAAGCCCTGGGGGTGTCCCTGTGCCCCCCCTCACCACAGGGGGTGTCCCCAAGCCCCCGGGGATGTCCCCAAGCCCCAGGAGGTGTCCTCAAGCCCCGAGGGTGTTCCCAAATCCCAGAGGGGTGTCCCCAAGCCCCCGGGGGTGTCCCCAAGCCCCGGGGGTGTCCCCAAGCCCAGGGGGGTGTCCCCTCACCGCAGTGTGCCAGCAGGTCGCTGTGGAAGTCGAGCAGCTCGTCCCGGATGTCCCCGGGCACGGGACACTCCTCGCCCTCAGCACCCCCCTTGTACTGCAGCAGCATGTTGATCTGGGGACAGGGGGGACACGGGGGGACAGGGGGGGCACACGGGGTCAGCGGGACCACCCCACGGCCATCCCCCCATGGACAATCCCCCACGTGTCCCCAGTCCCTCTCAGTGTCCCCCACACCCTCCCAGGGGTGTCCCCATTGACAGGTCCCCAGTCCCTCCCAGTGTCCCCCAGTCCCTCCCAGTGTCCCCCACACCCTCCCAGGTGTGTCCATATTGACAGGTGTCCCTCCCAGTGTCCCCATTGACAGGTGTCCTGAGCAGTGTCCCCAGTCCCTCCCAGTGTCCCCAGTCCCTCCCAGTGTCCCCAGTCCCTCCCAGGTGTGTCCTCATTGACAGGTGTCCCTCCCAGTGTCCCCAGTCCCTCCCAGTGTCCCCCACACCCTCCCAGGTGTGTCCCCATTGACAGTGTCCTGAGCAGTGTCCCCAGTCCCTCCCAGTGTCCCCAGTCCCTCCCAGTGTCCCCCAGTGCCCTCCCAGTGTCCCCATTGACAGGTGTCCCGAGCAGTGTCCCCAGTCCCTCCCAGTGTCCCCCACACCCTCCCAGGGGTGTCCCCATTGACAGGTGTCCTGAGCAGTGTCCCCAGTCCCTCCCAGTGTCCCCAGTCCCTCCCAGTGTCCCCCACACCCTCCCAGGTGAGTCCCCATTGACAGGTGTCCCTCCCAGTGTCCCCAGTCCCTCCCAGTGTCCCCAGTCCCTCCCAGGTGTGTCCCCATTGACAGGTGTCCCGAGCAGTGTCCCCAGGCTGCTCCCACAGGTAAGTGACCCCATGAGTGTCCCCATGAGTGTCCCCAAGGTGTTCCCAGGGATGTGAGTCCCCAGGAGTGTCCCTAAGGTGTCCCCTTTGGATGTGTGACCCCAGCTGTGTCCCTGTGGTGTCCCCATGGCCACGCCCATGGGTGTGTCCCCCTCCCATGAGTGTCCCCAGGTGTTCCTGTGGTGTCCCCATGAGTATCCCTGGGTGTCCCAGGGGTGTCCCCATGGTGTCCCCGTGGTGTCTGTCCCTGTGTTGTCCCCAGGGGTGTCCCCAAGGGTGTCCCTGTGGTGACCCCATGAGTATCCCTGGGTGTCTCTGTGGTGTCCCCGAGGGTGTCTCTGTGGTGTCCCCTGTGATGTCCCCAGCAGTGTCCCCATGACCACCCCTGTGGGTCCCCCCTGCAGCCGTGTCCTTGGGTGTCCCTGGGTGTGTCCCCCCTGTGGTGTCCCCGTGGTATCCCCGAGGGTGTCCCTGTGTTGTCCCCAGGGGTGTCCCTGTGTTGTCCCCAGGGGTGTCCCCGTGGGTGTCCCTGTGTTGTCCCCAGGGGTGTCTCCGTGGGTGTCCCTGTGTTGTCCCTGTGGGTGTCCCCGTGGTGTCCCCGTGGTGTCCCGTGGGTGTCCCTGTGTTGTCCCCGTGGGTGTCCCCGTGGTGTCCCCGTGGGTGTCCCTGTGTTGTCCCCGTGGGTGTCCCCCCCGTGGTGTCCCCGTGGGTGTCCCTGTGTTGTCCCCGTGGGTGTCCCCCCCGTGGTGTCCCCGTGTTGTCCCTCTGTTGTCCCCCATGGTGTCCCCGTGTTGTCCCCACCTGCTCCTGCGGTGGTGACCGGAACTCCCTGGTCCTGCGGGCGGTCTCTGCGGCCGACATGGTGAGTGCCCTCATGAGGAGGCCGTAGCGGCGCCGCTGGTCCCGCTGCAGCCGCTCCACGTGGCGCTCCGAGAACGCCACGATGGCCTCCACGCGGTGCTGCAGCTCCCGCTCGCACAGGTGCTGCAGCAGGTGGCACATCTGGGGACAGGGGGGACATTGGGGACATCAGGGACACAGGTGCTGCAGCAGGTGGCACATCTGGGGTACAGCAGGGACATTGGGGAA